TTTTCAGAAATAAACAAAATGGGATCCAAAAACTTGAGGAAGTTGGGGAATCGAATATGAAAGAGCCTGGCACCTACCTGGCTGCCAAATAATATCTTCTGTTACTTGGTATGAAATATAGTACTGTCAGTCTTTTATTTTATAATTTCTTTTATGAAGTACAGGTGTGATTGTAGCTACGCTATTGAATGTGAATTATTATTCATCTGGGTTTCTAGCAGCTAAAAGAGTTCCTTTATGTAGTTTATATACTTCATTATTTTCTATGTTTACCATAGACATGCATAGTATTTTACAGCAGGATAAAACAGCAAACTTGCGGATAGTTTCTATTCCAGCCCAGGTGAAATTTGGGGACAAGATCAGAATGAATGTGCATAGGTCAAGATGCAATAAAGAACAAAAAGGGAAAGTGCGATTGCTAGATTTTGCTGAGAGAGTAGGTTGTGAAAGAAGCTGGTTGGATAGGCATCCCCCACTTTGGGCCAGTCTAGATGAAGTCTGTGCTGCAGTCGCAACATGTTCTTGCCAGGATGCTGCTAAGCATATCTTGCCCACCTGGTCCCACAGACATGCTCCAACCATAGAAATATTATGCTGTAGCTACTGAGGTCACTCAGGCACATCTACCTGTGGCCACTCCAGATCTCAGTTTCCAGTGCAGAAAAACAAGAAAGATTTTTAAACCTCCCTGCTTGCCATCTGACACCTCCATGGAAGGAATCCTGAAACAACAAAGGAAACAACAAAGAGCAACTCAGAACAACTCACAGAGGCACTCTCATGGACCCAGAGGGACCTATTTTCCATTTCCAGCTCCCTCTGTGCAAAAACGAAGTTTATTTCCTACCTATGGGGACTTTTTACCATCTTTAATTTTCCCAGAGCCTGATGAAGGGCATTTGAGCCCAAAAGCTTGCACAAAAAGATTTTTTTTTTTTGCAATTTCCTAGTTGGTCTAATAAAAGGTATCATCTCTGAACCAAGAGTTCTGGATTTTTGCAGTTACCGAATACATCCCATTCTGAGATGTAATCACTCTTCTTGATGTCGCATTCTGGCCTTTATCAGAGCTTTCATCATCAGTGGCTATCTTCTGTACATGAGAATGCAAAAGACCTCTCCATTTGTTGTTACTCTGAAAATTGTCACAAACCACGTCATATCAAACATTTAAGTGATCTCCTGGGGAAATTTAGCAGCAGTGAAAGGGGGTTGGAGTGAGGATTAATTTCTCCCAGGTTGTTTTTTTTTATAGCGTGCGCGCGCGCGTGTGTGTGTGTGTGTCCGTAATACATTTTTATGGTTTTTACTTTATTTCTTATGTTTGCTATGAAATAAACATCAGATTTGGACATAGCATAACCTCACAAAAATATACAAATTTAGTAGGGTATAAATTGTAGCCCCTTCAGATTTAGAACGATAGTGCCACCCTTTGTGAAGCAATTGGAATATGTGTAAGCATGTTTTGTGGATATTCAGAAGGCAGATGGTCTTTTAACTTTCGCTGCATCTTGTGCCCTTCTTCATTGTGTACCATCACCTGCTGTGCAACTCCTTTTATCATCGACTCTGCTTAATGTAACAGGCTTTTGCTGGCCTTGTTCATTTGACATCCTCAAGGTATTGACTGTATGTATAATGCCTCTCACAAGACATTCTGTATTTTGAGGGCTTGGTGTTCCTATAAATGGAATAATGTATGGAAGAGAATGGAGATCACTTAGAAACCTTATTTTAAAAAATTAACTTTCTTGGGGACTGTCTATAACCCACAGATCTGCAAAAAGACATTGGTCTGGTTGCTCTTTGTCTCCACACAGCTGTAATTGCCTGTAGACTAGTGATGCTTAACATTTTGGCCCTGTGGGCCAGATGAGTGGGGCAGGACCCGTCTGTGAACCAGATTGCGCACTGGAGCCTGGCACCGCCCCCTCCTGCCCCACTTGCTGGGTTTGGGTCTCGGGAGGCCAATACTGCCCCCTCATGTCCGGACTGGGTCTCAGGATGACGGTACCACCCCCTTCTGGCCCCCTTGCACTGGGATTGGGTTCTGGGGGCCCAAAACCACCCCCTCCCTACCTCTGTGCATGGGGATTTGGCTCTGGGGCCAGTGCCACCCATCCCATGGGTGCTGGGATCAGGTGGGGGATCCAGAGCGCAGGGCTGTAGGCTTCCCACAGGTCTGGAGATTTGGTAGCAGGGGAGTAGTGCCACCCTTCCCCCACTGTCAAATGTCCAGACCATGAAAAAGCCCTGCAAACTGGTTAATGTGGCACCATGGGCCAAATCTGGCCTGTGGGCTGCAGATTGAACACTCCTGCTCTAAACTATTGTCCAGCCTCCCCTTTATCCTCTTTGGCTAATGGTAGTTCCACCTGCTGTTTCTGTTATTGTAGCATACTGATCCTGCTGTATCGTGTATCATAATTCAGTTTTCACAGAGGCTTCCAAATTAATTGATATTTTCTGTCATTCATAATTAGTTTAAATTTTCAACACTTGGTGTTGACCTGGGAGTGTGTATGGTCATAAAAATATATTGCAGTCTATAAAAATGTATATTGTATACATAAAAAGTGTGAATTACATTATTCATATAATCCATATATTCATATTATCTGTATAACCACAGAGGGTTAATGTTCTATAGATAATAGTCTCTTAATGTAAGCTTTTAATGTGTCACATAAATAACATCTGTTTTTAAAGATAATACAGTATTTTCCTTAATGTTCTATGAGGCAGGAAATGTCTATTATCTTTGCATTTCCATTCCATTCTAACTGCTCAAGCCCTGATATACATACATACATAAGTGTGTGTGTGTGTGTGTGTATGGCATATGTATATTTTAATAATTGGATCTTTAGCAGGCTCCTATAACCAAAATGCATTATTTGCACTGTCATCACTGCTGACACAAGTATAGCTATTTCAAAAGTTCCCATACTTGAGTGTACAGTATCCAGTCTGTCATTGGCTTAGTGGTCAAATAACTTGACTGATCGAATGGTGATGCCTGATTTGATTTGGATCAAATGTAGGGAACTCTAGGTCAATGTTTAAATGTGTTCTACCTTGGTATACAGTCATGTTTTGTGTATTTTTAGAAAACAAAACACTACTGAAAAGCAACTATTGTAGTAAGGCAGAGACCAAGCAGCATACACAATTTATCTGTTATTTTAATTTCTGACTTCCTGGAAAAATTGAAAAACATGGCATTTTGGATATAAGAACTGATTATAGGCCATTACGTACCCTGGGGTTACTTGTGGAAGGTTATCCTGGTTTGAAATAAAGTTACAATTGTGAAAACCAGTATTATTTGGCTAGTTCAGTAAATCATATGCCTTTCCTCTTGCGTGTAGAATATGTTCTTAGTCTTCTAATTCAAAATGTTCCAGTCATTTAAATGTGCCTGCTTAGATTTCCTGTTACAGAACCTGATTTGTCTGTTTGCATTCAAGCAGCAACAGTGCAGATGCAATGAAGGCCCCTGTACTATGGAAGGATTGTATCACTGCAATCTCTCCAGCAAAGCAGAATAAATTACTGCAGATGCTCCTTCCCAGTCTACATCTTGGGTGCTGTTGACATATTTATACAGATCTTTCATAGATTTCATAGACATTAGGGCTGGAAGGGACCTCGGAAGATCATCATGTCCAGCCCCCTGCCCAAAGGGCAGGAAGTCAGCTGGGGTTATAGGATCCCAGCAAGATAAGCAATCCAATTTAGTCTTGAAGGTGTTCAATGTAGGTGCTTGAACCACCTCCAATGGCAGGCTATTCCAGACCTTGGGGGCTCGGACAGTAAAGAAATTCTTCCTTATGTCCAGCCTGAAACGGTCTTGCAGTAGTTTATGACCATTCGACTTTGTCATCCCTTGGGGCGCTCTGGTGAACAGATGTTCCCCCAGATCCTGGTGGTCACCCCTGATAAACTTATAGGTGGCCATCAGATCACCCCTGAGCCTGCGCTTTTCCAAGGTAAAGAGCCCCATGGCTCTCAGCCTCTCATCATAAGGTCTGTTTTCCTGACCTCTGATCATGCGTGTGGCTCTTCTCTGCGCTTTCTCAAGCTTCTCCACATCCTTTTTGAACTGTGGAGCCCAAAACTGGATGCAGTACTCCAGCTGTGGCCTCACCAAGGCCGAGTACAAGGGGAGAATGACATCCCGGGATTTGCTTGAGAAGCATCTATGGATGCAAGCCAGTGTTTTGGTTGCTTTACTAGCCGCAGCATCGCATCGCAGGCTCATGTTCATTTTGTGGTCAATGATGACCCCCAAGTCTCTTTTTTCCATAGTGCTAGCCAGCGTAGCACTGCCGAGCGTATAAGGATGCTGCAGATTTTTCTTCCCAAGGTGGAGAACCTTGCATTTTTCAGTGTCAAACACCATCAGGTTCTCAGTGATAAACATCGTAAGGTCATCTTATACTTGTACATTATACATCATCTTATACTTGTACTCATCTTATACATTTTTTTGGTGTTAAACACCATAAGATCATAGTATACTTGTTGTCTTAAATGCACGCATATGTAACATTGGCATTTTAAAATGATGGCACAGTAGCTTTACCTTTGGGAATGCCCAAGATGGGAGGGCTGGGCAAAAAAGCCCAACTCCATGGATTTAATTTAAAATAAGGAGACCTCTCTGATATGAACTGAAAGTGGAACTCTACTAGATCAGTCCCTAGTGGAGATGATAATAAACACCGAAACAAGTCTGACATGTACTGTCTCTTATGGAATAGTGATGCAGGGCTGTGTAGGCATATATATGTAATATATACAAGTCAGTAATTAGATATGCTGTTCCTATTGGAAAAATATATCTTCCCTGCCAATAATATTTTAAAACTTTTTCACTGCTTTGATAGTACAACATACTGTGCCAAAGACAAAAGAAGAAAGTAGAAAAGATGTCCTACTAGATGACACAATTGTATAGTATGTGAAATTTTCCTTTCTTCTCTCCCCAGGGCAGTTGCAAAAAATTATCCACAATCTCCTAAAACTGCTAAACAATATCCAGCTTCTCCTGTGAAGCACCGTGCCACCTCTAATCTTAGCCAGGAGACTCCTAAAAAGAAAGCAGAAAAGGAGAAAGAGAACACTGCTTACCACAAAGCCCAGGGATCTCGTGCTGAAGAAGTGGGCCACACAGCTGCTGAGAAACATGTGCCTTCTACAGGAAAGACTGAAAGCAGTGAAGGTGAGTTTTGGTACAAGGATATGCCTTAACCTAGTGCAGGCACACCTGCTTTTAAACAAGAATATCCTCTCCATAAAGGGGAGGGGAAATGATTTCTGGGGGCAATATCTTTATTGGAACAAGCTTTTGACCACATTGCTGCTACCTCAGTGTTTAAACATCACTTTCTTCTGTAAGGGGATTTATAAACATAGAAATCAGGGGCAGATCTAGCAAGGGGTAGGCAGTGGTACAGTCACATCCCCCTTTATTCTTGGTCTACCCAAGGTTTAAGAAAAACTGCCTGGCAGTGATGTCAGCATTTCTATTCAGGCAGCAGTGAGGGAATCACTTGACTTCATGGTTCATTATAATCTATTGGATTTCTTATGAACTCATCATCGTAGGGGTGTTAGCAGCCTTCTCTCGTTTTTGATGGTCTTGATATTCCACTAATCAGGCTAGGCTTTCTTCTGTAATTCTGCTATCTATTAATGGCTCCTAGTAATGTAGCCCCCATTTCACAGCCCTGCAGGCTGTTTTTAGCTTTAGCTGAAAATGTTAACTTAGGTATGGAAGTGTTAACTCGGGTAAAGAGTAACTCAGGTACAGAAATAATTTTCAGTATAACATTGGATTCACTGTCAAGATGCTCAAGACTAGATGTGTTTTTTTTTCAATCTTAAAGTGATGTATATTTAATTCTAATGGCGACAAGACTAATGAAACAGCATATTTGGATTTTTTGCCTAGTTTGTTTTGCTTCTATAACTAATATGTGATATAGCAAATTCACATTGCAGTGAAGTTATATTTGTTTTTGCTTTGATCTTAAACTAAACAATATAGCACTCTGCCCCTACCATATTAGTAAAGCTTCTAGCTTCTTATTAACTGGAGAAAAACATATATTGTGCTATATGCAGCAGTGTGATGATCTGCATCCCTCTCTTCAAAACCCTAGATCTGCCCTGAATACACAGTATGTACTAAAATCATGAGTTACATAATTTCCATAGTTGCGAACTTTGTAAATTAATGTGAAATGAGGAGCCCAAATCAAACATTTGGGCTCCACGGACATCTCATGGACCAAGATTTTCAGAAAACAGGTGCCTGCCTTAATGGCAGCATATGGCTTGCGTGGCATTTATTTTTGGGTTGCTCAACTGAAAATAAATCTGTTCTTTCACTCTAAAGAGAATGCTTCGTCTCAAGCTACTATACTAATCATTTGAACATGGCATTGGCTGGAAAAAATGAGCACCTGTCTGCCCCATAAACTTATTCTGCCTGGTACTTCCTTCTAGGAACAATGCCCACAAGCCGAGGGAGGATAGGTTTAGGTTAGATATTAGGAAGAACTGCTTCACTGTAAGGGTGGCCAGAGCCTGGAATAGGCTTCCTAGGGAGGTGGTGCTCTCACCTTCCCTGGAAATCTTCAAGAGGAGACTGGACAGGCACCTGGCTGGGGGCTTATGACCCCTCCCACCCCCAGTGTCATTCCTGCCCATGGC